ATTCAGTAGGATCCTGGAGATGCTAAGGAGGATGAATGTGTTGTCCACCCCATTGAGGCATTTCCTATCCTATTTGGTGGCTTTGTTTCTCACCGAGTTCAAATAATTCAGCATCCATCTAATTAAATTAACATATTTAAGTTTTTTTACCAAAAAGGAGGAACAAGCCTATCAATTTTAACTCCAAAGATGCTGCTTAAAACACAGCAAGCAAAAGCCCAGGGGAATATTGTGTGTCAGGGGGAGGAGTGGTTGCATCTAGGTGGATGGTTTGGAAACCCTGCTCAAATTCAGAGGGTTCCACCAACAATGCCCCTACCCAGAGGGGCTATGTAACAGGATGGGGTCCAAGGGTAAAAATGATGCCCTCTGGTGGCTGTGTTAGTCCTGCTCTGCTCTTTCTTCTGCCTCTCAAGGTCTCACCCAGCTTCCTTGGCTGCCACATCTTGATGGTAAAGATGTGGTGAAGTTGCCCTTGGAGGCTGGTGAGCTCTTGGTGCTCTTTCTCAATACTACGTTCTTTCCTTGGGCTCAACTTGGCCAGCCTAACTGGGTTGTGGCCCCACCACCTACAGTCTTCTGGCCTTGGGGCTCTGACCTTGCCACCTCAATCACCCAAAAGCAGGGATGGGCAAAATATGGCCTGTGGGCCAGATCCAGCCCATAAGGTGATTCTGTCTGGCCTGTGATGGGTCCCTTGGCCCCGTCTGGCCCAGGCACAGGGTCAGCCTGGGCTGCGGCCCATGCAGGCAGTCCTACCAGCCCCAGGCACAGATGTGCTGCCTGGCACGGAGAGAAGCCCACCCTATCCCCACACATGGCTCTCGGGCAGACCAAGATCTGGAGTATGCAGGGACAGGCAGCATAGCAGCAGGGTGGGAGCGGCAGAGTAGCCAGACTCAGCTCCTTGGCAACCCCCCTGGGAGCAGCTCACTCTGCCCTCACACTTCTGGCTGCCACTGCCAGTGTCTTTACTGCCACTGGACCTGGCTTTGCTACCCAGTTACCCCTGCCCATCCGCCCTGCACGCACGACTAGAGGCACTGGATGGAGCGGGTGGGCGGGCAGGCATGGCAGGCATGAGGTGCGTGGGTGGGCAGGCAGGCATGAGGTCTCCATGGAGACAGCCTGGGACCCACATGGGGAGGGCGTGCTTGGCTGGGCAAATAGGATGGGGATGCGGGCGGGTAGGGAGCAGTGTCCATGACTGGGATGGGCAGGCAGGGGCTGGGGCCAAGATCATGGGGAAGTGACAGCGTGGGGCTGGGGCCTGGGGCAAAGCTAAAACCTATTCCCTGCATGTCCCTGTGACAGGCGCCAGTTCTGGGGGCAGGGCAGGGCAGCGGGCAGTACCTAGGGTTTTAATGGCCTGGGGCTCTGCCCTCTCTAGTCATGTGACTCAGCCCTCAGCCTGCCCTGGGGTGTTACACCTTAAACCCTGAGCTGCAGCCACTGCTTTCTACCTTGCACCGCTTTAACCCCTTGTGGGTTTCCCTGGCTCCACATAGCTCTGTAGCTGGCCCCTGCCTAGCTGCATATTTAACTGCAGCCCTGCCATACTGGTTCCCTACCTCTCAAAGTAGCAGGGGTTAAGGGTCCCTACTACAAGCTAACCCTCTACTTCAGGCTAACCCCACTGGGTGCAGAAAGCCCCTTCTACAAGCTAACCCCACTGGGTGCAAGGGCCCCTACTACAAGCTAACCCCACTGGGTGCAGGAAGCCTGGTGCCATGTTTAATGCCTGCTGAATGGAGCTTTTCCTGATCCAAAGAGTAGGACAGGTAGGGGAATCCTTTAGCCAGGTAAACATGAAGCATAGGATAGGTATAGGTGAGCCCACTCATCAAAACACAACTTGATGGCCTAGTTCAGGTTCTCTTGGCTTTACTGATACTTCCCTTCCTTCAGCAACCCCTCTATCGATCTTGCCCCTGTGTATCCTAGTGAACATGTTGTGTAGCCTCCTGAGAGCGCTCTGTCAGCTGCACTGTACATGGGAGTTATTCCCAGAGGCTGGCTCACACCCATTTCACACGTAGCCTCCTGAGAGTAGGAGGCACCAGACAGGAATCATTGCTGGTTAATCCTGTTATTGTTGAACAGATGGGGAGGTCTCTAGGTCCTTCACCCCTGGGGGAATCAGGATTACATGGATGCAGCTCTATTTACTGTACCATTCATAAGGTGAATGCTGATGCTTTGTTTTTAACCTTTTTTTTTCTCGTTTTCTCCTCTGCTTTAGAATAACCCGCAGGTCTGCCCCTATGGTCTCTATGCAGAACAGCTCTCAGGCTCGGCCTTCACCTGCCCCAGGCCCACCAATAAGAGGAGGTACTGTGATGCTGACTTGTGACTACCACAAATTATTGCTGTGTACAGGGCAGGTCTGGGGAGAGCCGGCCATGCTCAGTTTCCCTTGAGCATCCCAGAAGATTGGACTAGACGATTCAATCAGCTGTTTATGGCAATAGAAGTGCACTTTTAAAACAACAACAGGGAGTGAGAGAGGGTGGAGAAAGGTCATAGCTGGAGTAAGGCATGAGACCTATCTAATGGTGGAGGGAAGAAAGGCCTCCTTGGGTAGGGGATATAGATGAGACAAAGGAAGAGAGGAGATGTCTCATACGATGAACTACTGGGGTAGGGGGGGGTGGCATCATCGTGAGTCTGTGAAATAAGGTGAAGATCTCAGCTTAGTTACAAGTAGCCATTGTAAACCACTGTCCTCAGAACCACCCCTCCTAGGCTCCTGGCTGGTCTCATCATGCAGAAGCTGAACTCTTCTCTCTTTCTTGGGGTGGTCCTCCAGGGTTGGTAGAGGCTGGTATGGGGGAAGCTTGCAATTCCACTGCCTGGCTGTCTCTGCACAGGTTTTGCTTTCTGTCAGTCTGGCACCTGTGGCCATCTCACAGAGTACCGAAAAGCATTCCCAGCACAGGCTGGATTGTTCCAGTCCCAAAAAATGTCCTTCTGCCTCATCTCCGTCATTTTGCTCTGGCCCCTACCTGATCATGGAGGATCAGTAAATCATGTTGCTGCTCTCCCAGATGCTTCCCTGTCTGGTCTGCTCCTCATCCAAACAAAAGGCAGATGTATCCTCTGAGCTGCTTCATGGTTCTCTGCTTTGCCGGCTGGTGCTGGCTTTCTCTTGGCATGCGTGGGGAAGGGACTGAATCATTGTTGCTGCATGGAGATGTCCTTGACGGAAATTTTCTATCTCCCAAGGGAGTGCTCCCTCCCCTCCTCCTAACTGCAGCAGTGATAACACATCAGAGGCACCACATCAGAGGCTTTGGCATGCCTGTTTATTGCCTTTCTGATTATCTCTGGCCTCCTGCCTGGTTAAAAGCCCATCTCCTGGTTTGACCCATTTCTTGTGTGTATTCTGGCTCAGGCACCCAGCTTAGAGCAAGGGGGAGGGGCAGCCAGCCATTGGCATGACAAGCAGGAAGGAAGCAGAGCAGAAATCCATTTATCCACAGGGGTTGGGCCTTGGGCTCTGTCGGGGTTCATAGGAATTGGAGCTTTCTGGGCTCGGGACAGACATTCAAAAAGCCTGAGCCTAAACTGATTCAACCTTTGCAGGTTAGTCTAACCTGCAAAGCTTGACCTGATTTGTAGGTGGATAGACATTCCTTTTTCATTCCAGAAATGCAGGCATATGCCTGCAGTGGTTCAGGATAGAAGCCAGGAGGGAGGAATGGGGAGAGCTAGAGCAGCCTTCCCTTCCCTTCCCTTCTACAGTACTGAGCTGGTGTGGGTGGGGGGGAGGGGCTATGGGAGGCATGGTCAGGCCCCAGCAGGATGCTTTTATTAGCCCAGCAGGGAATTGATAACAATGTGTATCACCCCTAACTCAGTGTTTATCACCCCATTAAGAAAACAACAGAGGGACATTACCAGCTACCTGCTGATTCTGCCTTTGTCACAGCACAGTTCAGAGCCAGCATGTGGTCTGCTAGCTAATACACAGATACCTCTCAGCAAGGCAGAGGGAAGGGGGGAATTCCTGCTTAGTAGGGAGTGATGAGGGGGAGAGGGGAGCAGCCTGCTAGTCTCTGCCAGAGCTGCAGCCAAGGAACAGGGGGGCAGGGCCAGCTCTCCTGTGGAGCAGAGAGCCCTGCCCAGCCCAGAGAGCATGCTGGGATGCTGGGGGTGTCTGGTTTAACTTAAACCAGCAAGGGGTCTGGGACAGACATTGCATAAATCAGTTTGACCCAAATCAGTTAAGTCTGATACTACAGTCAACCAAGTTTATCTCAAACTGGTTTCAGCCATTTTCAAACTGGTTTATGTGCACTTAAACTGATCGCTTAAACTGGTTTGTGTGCAATGTCTATCCCTAGCACAGGTGGATGCAGAAAGCAGGACCAGGCTATAATACAAGTCTCAGGTCTGACTGCCCCTAAGGGGTCAACTCCTATGTGGCTTTTGAGCTTACCTCTAGCCAGAAGGGAGGACTTTGTATTCCCAACCCTGGTGCACAGTAAAAGGGAAGGCCAGACAGTTTTTCCTACTGGCCAGCTACACAGGAGCTATGCTTATGGAGAGGTTGAGAGAGTAGACAACACCAGACCCACAGCTCAATGGCTAGAGTTCAATTAAACCGATTTATGCAGACATTCCCATGTTACCTTTACTCCCTCTCCTCCTAGTGCTTCTTTCCTCAGGGGAGCAAGCTGATACACTAACCCTTTCCTTGCTATCAGAAGCAGGTATATTTCAGGAAAAGACAGGACAGCAGTAAGCTAAAAATTCATTCCCAGGGGACCACTGGAGAGGCAGGGAATTCATGTAAGGCAGAGGTTCTCAAACTGTGGTCTGCGGACCACCACTGGTCCACGAGCTCTATTCAGGCGGTCCGCAGAAAGGTGACCTAAGGCTAAAGCTGACAAACATTACACCCGACTTCCCAGAACTTTGCTCAAAAAAACAGGCACATCCATCACTTTAGAAAGGTAAGACTACTGATAATAAAATAAGTTGTGTGCTTTGATTTGTAGAACAAAAAAAAGTTTATTAAGTGGTCCGCTGAGACCCTCAGCAATTTTCAAGTGGTCTGTGAAAAAAAAATTTTGAGAACCACTGATGTAAGGCATTTCCCCTTTCTTATAGAGTACAGGACATACCACAGAGCACCTGGCAGTCTAACCAACTCTTGCTGCTGTGGGTGCAGTGCAGTCCATATGAGGAGTGGCTGGTTCTCCTCAGCAAGGCAATGAAGGACTCACTGTCTGAGGACAGGTGGCCCAGACAACTAGTTCCAGGAACACAAGGTGGTTCTGTTGCAAGACAAAGGGAAAGAAAACCTAGCCCATCTACTACATAACATGCAGCAAGGGCTGGAACCCAGGGAGATCTCATCAGCTGCACAGGGTTGTGTTTGGCCAGTGCTTGCTCAGAGGCCTTTAGAGAGAGCCCATGTAGGTTCAAGAAGTGCTGATGATGAACCAGATGGTGACCATGGGGGAGAGGTTAGGAGTGTCCTGCTTGTGTAAACCTTAGGTCTTGCCTGCATATGAGCATTTGTGATCCACGGGCATGATGCGCATGATGCCTGTGGATCATGACTGCGCATATGCAAGCAAGACCTAGGGCTTACACAAGCTGGACACTCCTAATCTAGCCACAGCCTGTATGTAACACGGGTGTTTTTCTTCTCTGCAGCTGGCTCTATAGAATTCTGCCCTCAGTCTGCCACAAGCCCTTTGAATGCATTCATGAAGGCCAGGTGATACATGACTGGGATGAAGTGGAGCCTGACCCCAACCAGGTAACCATGTCTTAAGAGAGGAAACAGCTGCAACAGGCTGTGTTGAGCTGGAAACTTGATGTTTGCTCTACTGGAGGGTCCTGTACATTGCACACCAAGGGAAATGTGTCTTGAAAACACATATAGGCCTGAACTTACCACTGGAATGAAGGCCAATTCCAGTTTATTAAAAGTCACATTTGTATTCTGTCAAACACAATCATGAGAGACACCAGGATGCGCCTGTCTCTAGCCTCTCCCACCCAGCAGTCTCACAGCATGCAGCAAACAATACTCAGTCCCCGCCATGCCCCATTTGCTAAGTAGACATTAATATCTCTAATTTATTTCTAGGGAAGCTGAGGTACTGAGAAAGTAAATGATCTAACCAGTCACCCAGTGAGTTGACAATCCCAGCAAGATTAGAACCAGGATCCTGACTCCTGGTCCTGTACACTGGCTACCAGAGGATGCTTTCCCATACAACCTAGTGAATTAGAGTTTGTCTCCACATATATTTAGGATCAACCTTGAGGTTGCCCTCAACAAGTCTAAGCCAGAGGAATCAACCCTTCCCCACTCGCATTACTCCTTATAGCTTGCACTACAGCCATCTATCATGCCCTGCTTCTTTCTTAAGATTAGCACTAAGATACCATATTTACAAGCATATCACACACTCCTGAATAAGATATGCATCTTGTTTTGGGAAGACAGACTGAAGAACAATTTTTTTCCCAGAATCTTACTTGCCACAGCAAAGACTCGCCATGGCTGAATGCTGGCTGCATGGAGTGGGGCTGGAGTCCACTCATCATCAGCATTGCTCACTCTCCCCCTGCAGCTTCACACCTAGAGGTTTAACCCTCTCACAGCTGCTGCTCCCTCAAAAGCTACTTTTAATTGGTAGCAACTGTGAGAGGGTTAAATCTGTAGCTATGGAGCTGCATGGGGAGGGTGAGTGATGCTGATAAGTTGACTTTGGCCCTACTCCATGTGGCTGGGAGCCAAGAACAGCCCCTGGCAGCCATTCTAATTCTCCCATGCCTCCAATTTCCTCACTTAAAGCCACCCCCCCCCCCCCCCCCCCATTTGGGATGGTTAATTTTCATTAAAAAGCTATATGTGGTATGAGAGTAAATATGGTATATCCTTGGTTCCCCTGCAGAGCCCTTCTAGGAATTAGTCTATGGTCTACTTCTCTCATGGGTTTGACTCTACTTACAGGCAATAGAAGGATGAACACTGAGAGAGCAAAATCTTGGACACAGTCCCAGATGCTCCACATTTGGCTCTTACCAGCTGAGAGACTGAAAGGGGCTGGTCATTTTTGGGGGTCCTGTAGTCTCATGATTTGTGAACTCTGTCCCCAGGCATGACCCTGCCTGATGCTGATCTAGCACTAATTTTTCAAATTGGGAATGAGAGTCCCAGTTTAGGGAGTCCTTGGAGACACAGCTCTGACTTCTGGGGCTGTTCAGGAAAATCTAGGACAGTTGGTTGCCTTATAGAGAGAAAAGCAGAGGGGTGAGGGAGGATACAGAAATAGCAGAAATAGGGAACAGGGAATTGCAGGATTGCAGAAGATGGACTTTCTGAGCTTTGCAGGCAGGTTTGGCTTGAACTTGTACTGGGGAATTCCACAGAGCTGCCAGGGTCTGCCTGGACAGCACCTGGGGACCAGGTTCAGGGGTTCACATATAGATGGGTGCTGGGCAGGGTCGGATTAACACATAGGCAAACTAGGCACATGCCTAGGGCCATGAGCTGTGGGGGGCACCAGTTCTTCCCTCTATGGTGGTGTCATGAATGGCTCCATCTGCCTCCCTGCTGGCCTCGCTGCCACAGTGACTGCAAGCCCCACTCCCTGCGGGTGGCAGTGCTGGGGTGGGGGGTCTCAACTGGCCCAGGGCCATGAATTTGTTTGCCTAGGGCTCACTAAAGGGTTAATCCGGCCCTGGTGCTGGGTATGGGCTTGAGGCAAAGGCTCAAGGGCACTCCTTATAATCAGTGCAGACAGGCTCTAATGCTGCCCTTGGCACCCTGGCTGTCTGTTAGCATAGACCAGCACTGATTTCAAGCTGTGCTGTCTCAAGGCTACCCGCAAGCCAGGGTCTGCTCCCTACAGCCTCTGCAGTGCCTCAGTCTTCATTTTCCCCAATCAAAAATTCATCTGCCCGGCAGGCAGGCAAACAGACTGTCTCTACATGCACCCCCTCCTCTCTTCATTTCCTGAGATGTTTCCCCCTTCTAGCCAGTTTCTCTTCAGCTCCTTTGGGAAATCAAGGTTTCATCCTGGAGAATCATGCAGAGGGGCTGTATTTGTTTGCCTCTTTTATAGCCTTGCCATCATCTTTAATCATGATTTCCTCCCCCTGCCAGCCACACAGTTCTGGTCTTCGCTAATCTGCCGCTTCCCTCCAGCCATCCTCCCCTCTACATGATCTCGTCTTCATTGGCTTTAGCCTCTCTGGGGTTTTGTTCTCCAATGCATCATCATTAGCTAATTTCCCACCATCCGGCAGCATCACCATTTATCACAATATTTCCCCAGTTCTGCTGGAACGTTTTCCAGTCACTCACCAAATAGCTGTGACAGGATCATATGCATGTATTTCTGCCTCACAACCCTTCTCAGCTGACTGCTGTTATATTTTCATCATTCCTGATGCCTTTTGCAAACAGAATCTCAAATTATTTATCCTTTTGTAGGTACCCAGCTCTAAAATCTCTGCAGCTATTTACGCTCTTTACCTTTGCTGTCTTCAAGAAAACTAACAAAACTGCTGTCCCCTCCCCTCCCTCTACCAACACATCCAATTTGAGGGGAAGGGAATGCATTTCAAAGAGCTCTTGAAGGGAGCCAGTTTTCAACTTCCCTTTCTGGAGATGGAGTTGAGTTTCAGTTTCTGTCACAAGGAGAACATCTCCTTGTTTTTCCAAATCTTTTGGTAGAGCCTACTACTCTAGTATCTAAGTGACTCTGGACGCTTAGTATCCAACGGCTTTTATTTATTGGAAGTCAGAAGACCTCCACGAGACATCAGTATTCCATTTCTTTCTGAGGTCCTGGCTGGCAAGCTGTGGGTACAGTCGTAGTCTATGTGTCAAGTGTCAGAACTAATTGGCCATAGAAACAAGTCCAGTCCACTGTCTGTCTAAGTGCTCACAGTCTGCGGGCATGACTGACCTTCTTAGATCTGTGCCAGTGACCAGCATTTGCGCAATTTAGTACAGTCTTCCATGAAATCTTTTATGGACCTGTTCAATACATAAGGAGCCCGTAGAGCGGGACAGGTACGGACTTCATCCAAAACCCACTGAAGCGGGGCAAGTGTTTCCCTTGAGTGTACAGTATGTTGGGCTCTAACATAATAACAACTCAACAACCCACCAAACAAATACCATAAGATGCTGGTCCTAACATTGAACATGGCAGGGGGATCAAACTGTTTTGGAGGAGGGGGCCAGATCCTTGTTAAACTATGCCCCCTGTGCTGGGATATAAATTCACAGCCTTCAGTCCACAGAAGAGCTTACACTGCTATCACTGGAGTTTTCTGCAGAAACAGAAGGGTGAACACAGACTCTCTGTGATAACTTACCCTTTATTCATTAGTTATTTGATAGCTTATTGTCACATTCAGTATTGTCAGTGAGAAAATCTGCCCCTCTTTAAACAAACTCAGTTTCTGATGCGCTTCTCTTCCTTCTCCACCTTCCATGATCTGTTTTTTCCCTGCATTTCCTTGCAAGCAGCAACTCCCAATTACCAGCCCTCAAGGGTTAAACATCACTGGGGAAGAATAGTTCATGTTTAAATGTCACCACTGGCCTTTACAGTTGTCACACCAATGAGGTGATTGCTTGTCACACCAATGAGGTGATTGCTTGAAGTCACTGCTTGAGGCTGTCTGCAGACTCAGACAGAGCCTGGCATCAGTTTGCACTTATTCTAGGCCCACATTTGGAAGGTTTTCTCTGCCATTACAAGGGCTAGAAACTTGTTAAAAAGGAAAGCCTAGAGGTGTACCCTAACCTGGTTATTTCATGCTGGTCACAAAAGTGCAGATCAGGGCCAGGCCTAGTCTAAAGGCTTCTATGCTTGACACTCTTGTCCTACACTGATCCCTCCTGAGGTTTTTCCCCACTTTCTGCAACATCTAAATCATCCCCAGCTCCAAGGTACCACTTGTTGGGCAGCCCAGGTCTCTTTGGGAGAGAGTCCCTGACAATGTGTTGTTATGTGGCATCCAACACACGGATGTTTCATCCAGACCCTCCCAAGGCCTTGCATCCAGCAATGAGGGCAAATGTCTCACTCACCGTTCCCAGACCCTCAAGCTGTGAGGTCTAGTTTACATCAGTCTAGTTTAAATCACATTTACACCCTTTACCCTTCTCCTGCCCTTTTATGTCCTTGGATCTCAAAGTGATACAAGGCCTCATACCTGTGAAGCAAGTAATTATCATCCCCATCTCACTGAGAGGAGACTGAGACAGAGAGAGGGGATGGTGAGATTTCTTGAGATGGTGAGTTCCTTGAGATTGTGATTTTGGACTTTCTGGTTGCATCTACACATGCTATTAGCATGGAGCAATAAACTCCGGCACATTTTGTGCCAGAGTTTATTGCTCCCGGGCACCACGTTTACACGTGAACCCAGGCCTGCAGCATGCTGAGCCAGGATGGAACAGCCCCAGGTGGCAGCAGGCCTCAACAGAGGTTAGCCAGCCAGCCCACCTGGAGCTGCTCTGACCTGGCTCAACATGCTGCAGAGGGGCTGGCTGGGGCTCAAAGGTGCTCCAGTGTGGGGCTAGCTGGCAGGCAGCTCCTGCATGAGGCACCCTCATGCCCTAACCAGTACCATCAGCATCTACATGTGCACTGCTACACACTAAAGAATGCCATCATACTCATCACACCCTAATATAACTGCATGTGTAGACATTAAACTTCACTGCAGAGCTAATTAGGCAGCTCCACAGTAAACATCTCATGTAGATATATCCTCTGCCCCCCAGCCCTGTCTTTTAACCTCTGGGCCATCCTTTCTCTTTCATGTGCCCATCCATCCTGACATTCCCCAAACTGCCCTGTCTCTTAGAAAAGTACAAAATTAAGAAAGTACAACATTTAGTAAAAATGGAAGATAAGTGATGGGTGTTTCATTCAACACTCTCTCCTCTGTACTTTTGAGATCCCTGCTAACTCCCTTTTCAGGGTCCAGTCCTAATATCCTTCAACACTGACACCTGCAACACAAATGCCATTTCCCTGGGTTCAGTAGGATTCTGCCAGGAGGAATTGCTGCCCAGCTGACCTGACCCCACTGGCCAGGCGAGGGCTTGAACTGCAGGGCTTCTCTAGAAGCAGATGGCTTCAAAGAACAGAGTAATTATGCATCAAGTAGTAGTGCCAGGCCTGGGGTGTAGCTGATTAATTAACAATGAACCCCTGCCCTGTTCCATGCACTGATGCATCTGGCGCAGCCAAGCTCACTGGCTCGTTCTTTTCTTCCTAAGGTTAATTCTCAAGGAGACTCTGATGAGTAGCATAAGCTCAATATTTAGATTTAATTAAAAAAAAAAAAGATTGCAAAATCCTCTTGGTTTCATGGTTTACAAAACAGTTCAGCAGAGGGCCAAACTCTGCTCTCTTTTCATACCAGTGTAAAAAGGAGTAACTCCTGATTGCATTTACATTGGTGTAAACTCAGGGTCAGTGAGATCAACATCAGAGCCATGGGCTCTCTGGTTCTTGCAGGTGACTTGGTTTATTTTGAAGCCTTTGCTGAATTAGGAGCACAAATGCAACCTTGAGCTAGTGCCGGTGAGCTGGAGAATGAAGCTGACTGTGACATCAACAAGAATAAATGCTATGAAATTCTCTAATGCTGTCTCCAGGGCTCTGCCACTGCTTTGCAGACAGCAATTAACTCAGCCCTCAGTACCTCTGTGAATAAGTGTCATTATGCCTGTTTCACAGACAGGGAGATTGAGGCACAGGGAAGGGCAGGGAGCAGCATAGCAAGTGAAGCATAAAAATCCACCAGTGATGAAATAGCATCAGCAATAAATACAAGGTTGGCTAAACTGATTTTTGTTGTGCTTTTCAGGTACAAAGAGTAATGAGGGAGGAGACAGCTTTTAAATAGGATTTTTTAACCTTGAGAGCACCTATCTTAAAAAAAACAAAAAACAATTTTTTTGCAAACATTTTAAAAGCCCACTAAAGCAAAAAAATGAATCCTCAAACCAAAGTATTCAGGCACGAAGCAAGAACACCGCCTCTCTAAACAGAGAGTTGGTTAGCTCAGTTAGCCTGAAGTCAGGCAGAAGTTAGTGCAGGGTGGTACTTTAGAGACTAACAGGTTCAGAGGAGCATGAGCTCTTGTAGACAACAGCCTACTTTGGCAGATAACATTCTTCCCCCTCGTTGAAGAGAAAGTAGATTGGGAAACAGAAGGCTGGGTGGGAGCCTCTGCTCTTTCTGCAGTTGTTCACATGATAATATAGCATCCTTTTCTTCCCAATGTTTTGCTTGTTCTCATCTAGCTGAGGTGGAAGCCTTTTGAGATCCCGAAGGCCTCTCAAAGGAAGCTGGACTTTGTGAGCGTAAGTAAAGGAGTGGAACTCTCTGGAGCATCTGTTTGGGGTTTATTAGAGCAGATGGTAACTCAGTGCACATCACAGAGCGGGAAGTGGAGGCAGTGACGAGCCCATGGTCATAGAAGGAGTGAATAACAGAGCTTGGGACAGAATGCAGGAGCCCTGCCCTATCTCATAGACTGTATACATGTTGTTAGTAAACTGTCTGGTTAGGAGTAGCCAACCATTGTGTAAAGGGTTCTCATCACAGGGGCTTCCTGCAGCCACAGCTATCAAATTGAAATCCGCCAAGCCACTCCACTGCCAGTGTTGCTTCCCCACCTCAACTGGGTTTGCAATGGCACCCAGGAAGAAATTGGCTGCTCCTTGGGAAATTCAGAAATGTGCACTCCAGCATATTGCTGTTCCTCTTACTAGCTCACCAACAAACCCTACAAGGGGGAGGGAGGATAGACACCTGGGGAGTTGTTCTGCTTGGGGAGAGTTTGCCCTCTCCCTGTCAGTGACCACAGGTCTGGGACTGTATCTTCTGCCACAGTTTTCAACACCCTCAGTTTTCATGGGCTTTCAAGAAGCTCTGTTCACCCATGGCCTCCTGGTGATGCCTTGTGATTAGCTAGGAGCTCTCTCTGGTTGCTTTTCATGAAAAGCCAATGGCAGAAATACATAGAAGCCTTCTGCAATGGAGGGGAGGGGGTCTGTGCAGAAGGAGGGCTTCCAGTCAAAGAGAGCAGGCCTGTCTGATGGATGAAGGAACCTCAACTCCATCCAGTACAAATGACTGTGTACATTTGTCTCCTAGGGGCTGCACACACTGTGTGGAGCCGGGGAGCCCAGGTCACGCAACGGAATCGCTGTCCACATCTTCCTCTGTAACACCTCTATGATCAATAGGTCAGTGACTGTGAGTTTGAGGCCCCAGTTCCCCAAAAGATGGTGTTTGCATGTGAGAATGGTGCTTGAGTCCACAGATCCTATAGATAACTCATGCTGCAGGTCATAGACATCAGCTGTTGTATGTATGGCACTGCCTAAGTATGCCCTGTATTCCTGCGCACACCACCAAAGTGCGTAGGCAGCCTGGGGAAAATGCTAGAGGAAGCCCTGGGCTAGGCAGACAGACATACAGCAGGGAGGTGAGGACAGGGAAAGGACTGCAGAGTCAAGAGAGGTTTGGTTCCTGGATCAGCAGGGTGCATGGATCCCTTATCCTTCAAGCCACACACTCCCTTGGAGGGCACTTGCACAGCACCTGACAGGCATAAATAGACCTCCAGAGCAATACAGTAGTACTGCCCATTGTGCAGATGTGAGAATGGAGGTTCAGTGGGGAGTCATGGACCACTGGCAGAGGCAGGACTGAGCCATTCCTCCACCCATTTGTTAGACCCCTGCTGCCTCCTGCATGTGCTTAGCTTCCACCACCCAGGCAGGGAGATCCCGGAGGTCACCTGTACTTGGCATCCTGATGCATGCATGGGAAGCTCTCTATTGCAGCACTCCAACTGCTTGAGGGGCCCTACTGTTGCAGCCTGTAGTGTGTGTGCCCGTGTGGTTTGTGATGGTCTGAACATACTTGTTTTTCTTTAGGTGTTTTTATAGTTCAGATGGTGACTTCCTGATCGGTGAGTTACTGAGTTGACCTTCCATTGCTGATCTCTGTTGCCATCAACTCATGTCTCTGTTTCTCCCAACATCTGGCCCACTTTATCAGCCAAGGTTTGGACCGGTGGCTGTCTCTAGTGGTCAGTCTCACACTACACTATTCAGGTTAGATGACTTGGTTGTGGTTGCCAGTTTCATCTGAGAGACTAGGGGTGCAGACAAAGGACACAATCACTGTGGAGCAACTTACCTTGGATTTCACTCTGCAGTGTCCAGTCAGTGCATGGAGAGGAGACAGTTTGCCTTGAGCCAGAGAGATGACATTGTCACAGAGAGAGGACAAGTAGCTTGCCAGGGCAGTAAAGCAACTGTACATTTCTTTTAGGTGCAACTTTACCCTGGATTCAAGTGAACTATACCTGGCTATATTAATACTTAGCATGTCTGCTCCACTTCCATTGCTTAGAGAAGTCAGTTTACTATACAGTAAACACGTGCATTTGCACCCTAAGCACTGCCTGGTTGGAGAAGATTTCTAAGCTGTGGCTTCTCCAGATCCTTTAGTGTTTATGTTTCCTTCCCACAGTACCACAGCAAGGAAAGCTGCTGATTACCACTGAGTTTGGCAAGCTGCTGGTGGAGCCCAGTGAAATCTGTGTCATTCAGGTAAGGATGAGGCAGAAGGCCGCCTTCTTATGGTTTGTTTTAGAGGTGCCTGAGGTTGAAGCACCCTACTAATATTAAAACATTGACTTTCTCTCAGTCACACCTCAGAGACCTACATTTTGCTTATCAGGGGCTGCTTTCCCAATGTACTAGGAACTGGCCTAATTGGTATGCAATTTCACAATCACAGCCAACCTAATCTTTAATAGAGAACCATGCATTATAGTTTGACTATCTGGATGTAGGTTGAGTGTCGCATGCAGCATGCTGGGATATGGAACTTCAGTTGGCCTCCCACATTAACTTTGAGGGCTGCCTGTGGGCCACCTTGAAGTCGATGGCTGCATTTGGACCACAAACCATTCCTCGACTGCCTATTGCATTAGTTTCCTTTTGGCCAGTGACTGCAATTCTCAGGGTATCTTGATATCTACTTTTATTTTTCCCATCTAGCAAGGGATGCGTTTCAGTGTGGAGGTGTTTGGAGAAACCAGGGGCTACATCCTGGAGGTATACGGGGTGCATTTTGAGCTACCAGACCTGGGACCCATCGGTAAAGATGCTCCATCAAGTTTATAGCAAGTTCGGTGGAGAGAGAGTGGAATTGGAAGAGTGAGGAACTAAGAGCCCAAAATTCATCCCTCCTCCCTCCCTGATGGTTGCCTTCATATGAACTAGAGACAGCCAGGTCCAGCCCTCTTCAAGTGGCCTACACAGGCTTAAGACTTCAGAATGTCCTTTACCAAAAATAAATCCAAAGCCCCAATACATGCCCCGACTTGGTCCCACTCTTTTTCTAGAGATACGCTTTGCTCACTCATGGTTGAATGGACAGTATTATTATGCAGCATAACCACAACTCTAACAAACTACTTGAAGGCCAAGAGTCCTCTAATTCTCTGAGAGTATAGAAAGAAATTATTACTCCTTCACTACCATCCCATAGAGAATCCCACAAAGATGTATTCCCTTACTGGGGAGTGCCATATATGCCAATTCAGCACCATCTGAAATTATTAAAAAAAACAAAACCATATTTACATTTCCTATCTACCAACAATGGTCCTAACTCTGCTTTAATTAAACTGGTGTAAATTGAGGTAATCCAAGTAAATCCATGGAATAACTCTGGATTGACATAAGTGTATCTGAGAGTGGAATTTGGTTTTGCATCTTGAGTTAAAAAAGGCCAAATTTCTGAACTGTCATGGACACACAGGTCTGGAAGGGACCTCTTAAGACACTGGATAAGCCTGGCAACCATGTCATGTAGCCCCTCTCATAAACTGATGATAAAGCTTGGCTGTCTTTATAAATTCAGTTGGACACTCACCCTTAAACCCATGTTTGAAGGAAACAGAGTCAGTAATGTCAAAATGATGAGTGTTTAACCTGGCAAATCTGTCCTGGAAAAGGGCCTCAGATGACAAAAATTGTCACCCCAAAACAAAACATGGATAGAAACATTCTACTGTGTGTGAATGACAACTCTAAAAAATCATTAATGGAGGACAACCTAATCTGAAATTATATGGCTGGACAGCAGCTAAATGACCTTTGCTGCAGAAAAAGTGCTCTGCAGACCCTTTGCCTCATTCACTGTTTGTCTTAGACCTTGAGGTCCTGTGGAGTGCAGTGATAAGAAAGATTCTTCAGCAGCCTTAACCTTAGCAGTGCAGCTGGGACACATTAATTTCATGGGACTGTTGTAGTCAGTGTCTGTTCCACTTGATTATTTATATTATTACAAGCTTTTTCATTAGTTTCAAAAAGATATCCTGGGGATTTTTTAGTTTCCCCAAGCAGGAGGCAGGGGAGGGAGGGGGGAGCAAAATCTATTATAATATTTACTTTTTGCAAGAAAAGAAAATGATAGTACTTGTGTGTAATACTTCTTTTAAGAAGTGATAATTATAAGAGCCTCTCCCCACCACTCACCTACCTCCCTTCCAAGATCAAGTTGCTTTATATTTTATTCTTGGTTTATTCTGACTTTACTTGTGCTTTGAGAAAATGTCAGCTGGAAGAAAATACCAACTGTTAAGCCCCAGCAGTGGGTACTAATGCACTGCATTTTTATCCAAAGAATACGGAGCACTTTGTAACAATAATGAGAAGCAGAATGCCTAGCTTTCATACAATGCTTTGTACTTTGAAAATACTCTACAGACATTAACTATCCCTTATAATACACTAAGGAGTATGTGACTAAGTGTCATTACATCATTTCATTTAAAATGTGTTAGGCATCTGATGGCATTCTAGGTAACTTTCCCTAATGCTATACAAACAGCCAGTAGCACAGTTGGAAGTACCTGATCCCCAGTTTTCTGCTTTACCACTAGATAACACTCCCTCTGCCACTGAAGATGGGTAATAGTGTACAATTTTTTGCTATGGGGACTCTTTCTTGATTGCATGTTGGGAACATAGATTTAAAAGCTAGGCTGTATCACAATTACACACTCATAAGAGCAAGGATTATGGGTAAATAATTTTGTTTTGGCATAATAGGCATTTTATGGAGCACAGGGGGGCACCCATATTGTTGTTCAGAACACAAAAGGCATCTCCTTAGGCAGGAAGGTGTAATGGTCCCCACACAGTTAACAAGTTTACTCAGAAATCTCTGTCTCTCCCCTCTGTGCCAGGAGCCAATGGTCTGGCTAACCCTCGAGATTTCTTAGTGCCAGTTGCCTGGTATGAAGATCGCCAAGTGCCAGGTGGTTATACAGTGATCAGCAAGTATCAGGGCAAGCTGTTTGCAGCCCATCAGGTAAGGAAATTAGAATCCTCTTTGGGGAGAATGGGTCAGACTTGAAATGCTGTTTGTTACTGCTTGTGCATATTGTGCGATTCATGATTTATCAGCATGGTCAATCATATAACACCACTCTTGCTCACATCAATGGTCAAACTCCTACTGGCTGATATGGGAGCAGGAGCAAGCCCTTGGCTCATTAGTGCATACTCCTCTCTCCCACTAAACTCTCTCTACCTTAGTAAATATTTTAAAAGAACTGTTTGACTCTAGCTTCGATGATTCTTCGCACACAGGTGCTGGCCTTTACCTCCCTGCTTCCAAGCGCTATTTTGTGGTATATATAAAAAGGACTAGACAGGGACATATAATTTCTAGCAGGCAGGGGTTCCCATTACAGAAAAATCATGGTCACAACTTGTTCTGTAGGGGCAGCCTCAGCAGAGATGCCAAGTTCAAAGACTGAACTTTCAGCTCTTCTCCAGAGATGGTTCTTCCAGTGTGTGGCTGAGGCCCATAAGCAGGGGGCAGCAAGAGGAAAGGTGCCCTGTTCTTTTGCAAAATAGAGGGCTCTGGCCTCCACACTCACAACATGCCACCTTTTGCCAGCAACAAATCCATATTAAATACCAGGTGTGGTGCTTTGCCTCTTAGTAGCACATTGGAGTGTTCCATATGTAATCTTTTACCTTTGTTCTTATCGACTTTAATAGGATTTCTCCCCATTCAATGTCGTGGCCTGGCATGGAAACTACACACCATACAAGTACAATCTGGATAACTTCATGGTCATTAATTCTGTTGCTTTTGACCACGCGGTAAGTTCCAGGGGTGTGCCTGGCAGAGCTATGCAACCTGGAATTGGAATTGAAAGTCAGGGGGAGCTGCGGGTGCTTAAAACTTGTGCACAATCAGATCACTTACTAGGTGTCTAACTATAGAGGTAGGAGAAAAACTGCAGGCACTGAAGTTTGAAAGTCCTGGCCTAAATGACTAATGCAGTGGCCCACACAGTGAATCAGCTCTAGAGCTGGGAAGAGAACTGAGGAATCCTGACTCCCCGTGCTTAACCCACAACTCCTTCCATTCATGTGCAGATCCAAGCCAAAGTCAAATTCAGCCTTAAGCAATTGGGTGCAAGTCCATGCAGCAGTGAGCCAAATCAGGGCTGAGTAAAATATGGCAGCACCCATACAGAGTGCCCAGTTTTCCACACCAGGACAGCTTCATAACACTGACATTCCTTTGTCAAAACTGTTGGAAGAAGTTGGTTCTGCCCTGTCCTGATAGCTGCTTTTTCTTTTGCCCACTAAATACATAAAGGAGGGATAGAAGTCAGTTCTTTTGCATACCTGCTAAATGCTAAAGTGATATGACTTCCGTTTTCTACTTCCGTTTTTTTCTGAAACACTTTACATGGAGCATGCGACTAGAACCTCATATGTCACTACTGTGTGAGGACCATAATCTTTTTCCCATAACATCAAATTGTTATCAAATAGTTATTATTATTATACTATTATTATACTACTGATATGATTTAACATTTTCTGGTGTGGTGGTGCCTGAAGTCTATAACTAGGTTAGGCCCCACTGATAGGTGCTACACAGTTGCATAGTAAATAAGAGTCTGTGGTATAGGTGGTGGAAGGCCAGGGCCAATGGGGCTCAGAGTCCTCAAACTGGGTCGGCAACAGCAGCTCCAACACCACCACCACCTCAGTGCCGCACCCAGTGCCCTGCCACATGCTCCTCCACTGCCATGCACATAGCACCGGCGCATGCCAGCCCCAGAACGACCCTGTAGGAGGGAGGGGCAAAGTCAAGCAGGTATGCTCCACACTGCCCAGCTCCCCCAATTAATATTTTCTAGTGCCACTTACGGTCTCTGCCCCAGGGAAACTGCAGTCTACAGCGCAATATGTAACAGGGGGATGAGACAAACAGCAAGCAGGAGCAAAGGGGGCCAGGTGACAAATGTAGTAAAATGTGCATAATCATAGCCAGGAAATTGGCTTCAGTGGGTCTGACCTCATAGTCCCAACAGGCAGGGAAGGGGAACAGGAGTGGATCAACCACATGGACTGCTGAGATAATAGTCCGGCCACATCCAGTCATCATTAATTCTATCCTCATGAGCTGCTAAACCCTCCTGTTCACTTCCTGCTGGCGCAGAGGGAGTTTTACTCTTGCGAACTACAGCATTCTAGGTAACCATCATGAAATTAATGCTGTGCGCTTAAAACTGACTAAATTGACTCTTGAACAAGAGTATAATTTTCTGTTGATTATAAAGCTCTGCGGATGATCACTAACCACTGAGTAGAGCAGCCCTACTGCACCAGAAAGTCACTGCAAGTATTACACGTCCCTGTTTTCCGATCAGATTTTATGTGGACTCCCCACCCCCCCCAAACACTTCTCATACCAGGCCCAACTCAGTTCTAGCATAGAAGGGCAGTCTCAGAAGTGTGGCACCTGCTCTCACACACAACTGCATGTGACCCCGTTTGCTAACAACAGGTTTATGCAGCCCAATGGGGCACCCATGTGCTGAAGATTGGAGCCAACACCCACTTGGCTACTCAGAGAAGAGAATTTTGCCCCAAAGTCTCATCTTAAGTCACCTCTCATAATGAGAAAATGACACAGTACACTCCCTTGGTCCTCCTGAGCCTGAAGCTAGGAACATATCTGAAGAGCCGGCAGGTTTGGTGGCAACAGCTTTTAATGCTTATGGAAAGCAAAAAAAAGCCAAAATCAGTGGGAGCAGCTTTTCTAATAAGAAAACCAGCCCAGTGGGACAGGTGCACTCAGCTAGACTCTCTCTTGGCACTGCTCTGTGAGCGGATGCACAGGGAGATTGGAAAGGGTTTAGCCAGACAACCAGCAGAAAACCTCTTCCCCTCTCCAGTAAAGCATGCTAGGGGGAAGGATGGTGTGGGAAGGAAAGTTCAGGCAGTCATCCTGCTGCATCCCAGTATCAGCACTTGGCAATCTTTCAGTGCTTCATTTTCCTTGATGGTTAAAAGGCGAGAGGCAATCGTTACCCTCCTCAGGAAGGGCTGGAAGGTTATATTCCTAGCCTGTTGATTGTCACTGTCCTGCACAGAAACAATGTGGGGAGCCTGCTGGGCTGGACTTCTGGGTTGTCTCGCTGTGTGGCCTGAACAGACCCCTTCCCTCTCCAGCTCTGCTTTCCTCCCCAGAGAGGGGAACAGCATTGCTGCCCTACCAGTGGGTTACTGATTTGTGTCAGGAATGTGACGAGAGGTCCACAGACCTGAGGAGGTAGAGAAGAGCAATGGCCAACTGTTACTGCAAGCGAGTACAGGTCTCGACACAGAGACCCTTGGCTCCTTCCATCACAAGCATCCTCTGCTGCCCAAGCACCTATCAGACTCCCAGAAGACTCCTGATTGTACCTAGCCTGACCTTCCTGTCAGCACCAACCCTCCAGTCCTGCCACCCCCTTTGTCTCCATGCTGGGCACAGTGCCCTCAGAAACTGGGTTTGGGAAGTCCCTGCATTTCTGCTTCCCCTGCCCCCAGTCTCAGCTTCACCCTTTTCTATCTAGTGTCATTACTGAGGGGACAGCTCATAGGAGGAGGGGTGCAGCACATGAAAGGGGCAGAACCAAAGGGTCTCCCCTGAATCCAGCCAGCCCTGCAGGGCAGGAGGAGGAAGTGTTGCAAGGCACTGGATTCAGGACATCCCCTGCCCCTCTCCTGGGTCAGGAGCCAGGCAAAGGGGGAAACAGGACCAGGGCATAGTGGGGAGTTAGGGAATAAAGTACTTGTTTCAGGAGCTAGGTCCCTTCAAGGCTAGACAAATGAGGAAACAGCCAGGCCCATCTCCTTCCCCCAGCCCCCAGAACAGGCAGCTGTTATTTTTCCACCCCCCCAAGTCAGCACCTGGAGCTGCCGCCATGGTCACCCTGCCCTAGTTATGCTAATGGGTGCTCTCACACCCACTCCAAACCCCCCTCAGCATCCACACATCAGGTGGAAAAATGTGAGTGAGAAAGCAACTAACCTAGCGGGCCTCAGTCAGTTGGGCTGACAGGCCTGAACTTGGCCATATTTTCTGATCTGTCTGTCTGTCTGTCTGTGTTTTTTTGTGTAGGACCCTTCCATTTTCACTGTCCTGACGGCCAAGTCCACCCGTCCAGGAGTGGCTCTTGCGGACTTCGTCATCTTCCCGCCTCGATGGGGGGTGGCTAACCACACCTTCCGGCCACCCTACTACCACAGTACGCCTCCTGTTGACTCGGCTACCCTTGGGAAGGGGGGACCTGGGGGAGGCACAAAGCAAGCTTGCTGTCCTCCATAGCTGTGCCAGAACAAAGCACAGTTTACCTACAAACTCTGGCCCAGCTAACATGGGGCACTTGCAGCCCTTGGAGAAACAAATGAGAGCAAAATTGCTTCCTTTTACAGCAGCTAGGAGCAGCAGCTTGTGGCTGTACACATACAGTATTGGAGAATCCCAACCAAATTTGGGTCCCCATTGTGCCAGGGACCGTACAAACATGTAGTAAAAGGTGGTCCCTGCCATGAATTGCTTATCATTTCATCACAAAGGAGAGACAGAGGGCATGAGAGAGTATTACTATCCCCATTTTACAGATGGGGAAACTGAGGTGCAGGGTGTCATGTGACTTGCTCAAGCTCACACCTGGAGTCTATCTCAGAACTAGGGACTGAGCTCACTTCTGCTAAATGTCATAGCCACAAAACCATCCTCCTTCTTCAATGCATTGTATCGAGATGAACAGTGCTGTTACCGTTACCCCAACAGTCTTTGGAGAGAACAAAGCCAGAGATTAACTACTCTTGTTCCCAGTGGACAGACAACTACACTGCAAAAGCCCCAAATCCTTACTGGCTGTCCCTGAGCAAGAACTGAGGACTCAAAGGACCATACAGATTTAATCCCCCTCAGACCCCAAACAGATAACCCAGGGTGAGATGTTGATAAAGCTATATGTGGGGAAGGCTTGTCTCACTGCCACCTAAGTAGTGCTTCTCCTCTAGATAAATAAGAGGCCTCAGTCTCCACAGCTGCACCTTTCATGGTGCTACAGCCATGGTGTTTAATGTGGAAGCATTCAACATTGTTTAATAAGCACCTCCCTTTGTTACTGGACAGAGCTTTGAGGAGGCATGGGGTATTATTTCTGAAACTTGGTCCCTTGACAGCACAGTGGGCAGCTGTGCAGCCATCTGAATCAATCCTAGAAGCAAGCACTTGGCCCACTAGCCTGCTCTCATTTGAAATAATGAAAAGTGAAGTGAAAACATCCAGAGACCAATTAAGCCAGTGCCAGGTCACTGCAAGTGCCTTTGTTAAACACTAAATTCATACTGACAGGGTTGTTTTTCACCAGTGGGATGGTAGGGTCTAAACTGCTGGACCAAACACATCACGCTGGCTCTGAGAGGGTTTGGGTTTGCAGAGTAGCTGAGCGCCTCAGACCCTGCTGAAATCTGTGAAGCGGTAAGAGCTCTGCACTGCGCTGGAAGGGTAATGGGGCTGAGCGAGTCTGGGACATGAGTAGTCAAACTCTGAACCAGTTATGCTTTCTCATATATTTTATGCGAAATCTAGTCCTTTATCCACAGCACTATAATCTCCTGCTCTTGCATTCAGAGAATGTTGTGTTGCAGTTCAGTTTGCACATATCTGCTGTGTCCAAATACTTGACAATCACGGAATTGATTCTCTCCTCACAGCATTTCAGTCAAATGAACCATTGCTATTATCTCCATTCTACAGATGGGGACTGAAGTACATGGTAGATTAAGTAACTTGCTCAAGATCACACAGGAAGTTTGTGTCTGAACCAGGCATGGAATCCGGGTCATCTCTCAAGTCCCACCCAGTCTAGTGTTCCATTAGCTAGACCAGAAGATGGCCAACCTACAGCACAAGCACTACAAGTGGCACAGGCAGGCTCTGTGCATGAGAGACAGCAGATCAAGGAGGCGATAGGCAGCACAGCAGCAGACAGGGCAGGAATCAGAAAGCAGAGCAGGAGATCAAGCAGGGAGCACAGGGCAGGAAGCAGAAAACACAGGAGGAGACTGGGCAGGGAGCAGTGAATACACCAGCAGACTGGACAAAGGAAGAGTATCAGATTGGCATTCAGGGGGGCATGTCTATACATGTTTTCTGCAGAGCTAATTAGTTCTGTAATGAAGTCTCAGTGTCTACATATATGCCCCTATTAGGGTGCAGTAAACTGATAAACACTGCCATAAGATAATACATGTTAACATAAGTACTATCCTATGGTGGTGTTATTTATCTACACGTGTAGATGCTGACAGGGCTGGCTTGGTCACAAGGGTGCCAGCTAGCCCCACACAGAAGCACCCTTGGGCCTCAGGCACAGCACGTTGAGCTGGGTCAGAGCAGCCCCGGGCTGGGAGGCTGATTCCTTGGGTCCCCTGTCAGCTGGGGTTGCTCCAACCTGGCTCAATGTTTTGCAGTCCTGGGCACATGCACAACTGGTGTTCCCAGGAACAATAAACTCCAGCATGAACTGTTTATTCATTTGCATTAATTGCACATGTAGACGTGCCCAAGGAGAGTTAGTTTGTGCCAAGTCGGCCAAAAAGATTGGCCCCCGCCACTAAACTAGACCACCCTTCCTACAGCATGCTATAAATATTACAATATATTTTTACAGCTGTAGATGCATTACGTGCAAGGACTTGGGAGTTCTGTGTACTACTTTGTGCATCCCTGACACAATTCATAAGCCATTTTTATGAAAAATTCACAATGATCCATTCTTATGCAAGATGCTGAAGCTCAAGGATGAGTAATAATGAACATTTGCTTGCATATATAGGCCAGCTATATTTTTAGCTAATGAATGGCATTCAAGAAAAGATGAGCTTCTGCTTAAAATGAATTGGATAGAACACAGCTACAGCAATTTGGCTTGATAATGCAAAAAGAACCCCACTTATCATCAGGTATAATGCTGACATAATGCTTGGTCAAGTCAAGTCTGCTGAGACAAGTAGGAATTACACCTGGTAATTGTTTGTGGGGGTGGGGACCAAAGTTATTAAAATACCTACCTCAGAGAGAATGTCTCCTAATAATAACTCCAGGGTTAGACGGAACCGCTGTCAGTTATATGAGGGGTATCCTACTCTATCACACCTTACTCTACCAGTTTCATTAGGACTACTCAAGCTACTGCTTCTCATGAGTACAGTTCACATAATATTATCCCCAGTCACTAGAGAGAAACTGTGTAATTTATGTCCAAGAAGAAACCATGAGCATAAAAGAATCAAGCAACTGTCCCAGACTGGAGGTTTTAGAAACATGTAGAGCAATATGCCTTAGTGCTTTGGACACTGGAATCAGACTGAAGTAGGTCTGAATAGACCTGGGTTCTAGTCCAGCTCTGTCAATCATGCGCTGAGTGATTTTTGGGGAAATTCTTTTTTGCCTTGTTATACCCAACTATAATATAGGGCTGATAATACTGACCCTTTTTATATAGTGGTTTGAGATCTACAGTGTGTATAAATGTCAAGCCATGTTATAAGCTTGTCTATGTACAATTTTACTACCAATACACTGGAGGTAGTGCAAGGCTCTCGAGTCAACCTGATTATATTGGTATAAAGTGACTATAATGGCATATGATAGAAGTACCCCTTTTAGTGGCTTAACTAGGAGGGGAGTGTTAACAGCCTCTGTTTCTGAATCCACATAATTATGCTGGTAAAAAAAGTGTGCATAGACCTGCCTTCCACCTACCCACCAACTGGTTCACCATTACTACTTGCTTAGAGGTCTCAGATTCAAATGCTGACCAGATCCAGCTCAACTTAAGTAGTGAGCTTAGCTGGTCTCACAGCCAAGTTATGATGGCTTGGCTTGACAACCACCTAACTTGTGACTATTTTCACAGGAAACTGCATGAGTGAGTTCATGGGGCTCATCAAAGGGCATTATGAGGCCAAGGAAGAAGGGTTCCAGCCAGGAGGGGGCAGTCTGCACAGCATGATGACCCCCCACGGGCCAGACGCTGAGTGTTTTGAGAAGGCAAGCAAAGCCAAGCTGGAGCCTGAGAGAGTAGCAGACGGGACCATGGTAAGAGCCTTACAGAAGAAAAAGGCTTCCACAGCCAGGTAGCAGTGATACAAAACATTCACAGTTCCTGGCTTTCATGTTGGACATGTGTTTGGGGCTATTGTTGCAATCCTACCCCACCCCAAAGATGGATTTTTAGAAACACCTTAGTGCCCCCGAGTTCCCTGCTGGGACTCTGTACCCTGAGCATTTGGTTAACAATATGGACACTTCATTTGATGCCAGCTGAGGTCAGATTGTTAATTAATATGATCTTCAACACAAGAGGACAAGTGAAGGGGCACCCCACAATGCCTCCGACTGATCCAGAAATAACAACTAGCTCTAAAGAATAGGGGCCTATCAGACGCTTTCCTTGGGTTTCTGATTTTCTAGGATGTTCACAGGAACCTACCAAAAGACAGTCGTGCAGTGGTGCATCTCAGCAGATTTTAGTGATCACAGCCTTCTTCTCCCTGAGTGAGCAGGTGGGAGCAAGGCTCTCTTCAGTGGCAAGTGCTGTACCTCTTTGACACCTATGTCTAGTAAAACAGGGTTACTATGTGCCTATTCAACCTCTTCCTTCACCCTCCTACTCTGAGGTGTTTTCTGTGGTTCCCAACAGGCCTTCATGTTCGAGTCCTCCTTCAGCCTGGCTGTTACCAGGTGGGGCCTCAAGACTTCCAACTGCCTAGATAAGAGCTACTATAAGTGCTGGGAGCCACTGAAGAGTCATTTCAACCCCAGGAGCAAGTAAACAGAAGGGCTCACTGTACTCTCAGGCCAAGTACAAGGATGGGAAAAATCTGCATGTGCATGCAGAAGGGCTAGAAAGTTCAGTGCATCAAGCACCATTACGGTACAGTCATTACAGAAGCAGCAACCAAATAAATGAATTATCCTTACAAGCCTGTGTAACTTGTGAACAGCAATTAAAAACACCACTATTCTGAGCTTTTACGTATCTAATTAAAGCTTTGCTCGTGACACATGGGAGCTGACACACTTGAGCAGCTCTCCCCCTGTGGTGGATGCAAACTCTCTACCTTGTAAAGGAGGTGATGGCTGACACCCTCTCCATCTGTCTGAAAATGAGACACTTTTCACGAGGCAGTTGTAGGATCCACCATTTAACATTACACTCACACAAGGAATGGCCTCTCAGTTAGAGGGTAATGATAAGGCAGGAGATGCAACCCAGAACTGAGCTCAAATCTAGAAATGCCAATCAGGGGAAAGTTATCCTTCCAGTGACATGTGACCCAGCCTATAGCCCTAAACCAGCTGGTGTCCAGGACTTATAGGTCGAAGCCAGGAGGGAGTCCTGACTGCTATAGGCTCTTGCTGTGTAGAGCAGCAAAAAGATGTCCCCCAGCCAAAAAGGCAAGCCTTTTGCCTGCCTGCACCCCCCCCCCAAACACTGAACCCCATGCCAAACCATTGTATAAAGAACTAAATTCAGAAGTGGTTGGGAGATATAATCCCTTACAGACCTTCTTCTTCCTCCCTGTTTCTTCCTATACTCCAAGCAGCTGGAGCCCATAGCTGCATAACTGTGTCTGTTCTGGCACCCCTTGCCTCCATACTTACTCAGCACCCAGGGCTAATGGCCCCCTCACTCATCTGTAGTTATGCTACTGATGCCAACTATACTATTGTAAACCAACAGAAACAAGGCACACTGCCTTTAATACAAGCTAAACTACTACAGTTGGAGCCTCTTGTAGGGCTGTGCAAAGCATCAGGTGGTGATTTGATTCGGAGGAGATTTGGCCCGATTCGGTGGTCGAATCTCTGAATCCAAATCGGATCAGGGGACCAATTTAAAGGTCTGAATCAATTCAAAGCTCTCCGAATCTTCGGAAAAGATTCAGAGAACTTTGATGATTTGGGCAGTCCCTGGTGGCTGCAACAGGGAGCAGCAGCCAGGCTCTGAGCTGGTAAGTACTAGGGGTGGGGACCATGGGGAGACCCCTGCCATCCCCCCAACCCCCACACACCCCCAGCCCCCCTGACCCCGCCCACTCCCCCA